ATATAGTCTATGAAGTTCACACCATATAGCATGTGCAGTTTTGTATCTCATAATTTTCTGTAAAGTATCTTGAGTCATATTAATTGTGAGAATCAATAACACATTGCTATCGATTTTATTGTAGTTTTCTAGTTCCTTCTCGTATTTTGCCTTTTCTTCTTGTGAAGCACCTTCTTTCAGGTTAGGAGTACTTAATGTGCCTTCTAAAATTTCCATAGCACCAGCGACCCCTCTTAGCAGAATACATATTTTATATTTCCATGTACTCCAATTTGACTGTCCTTCAAGCAGCCCTATCTGAACTCTGCTTACATCCATATTAGCTTAAAGGTGTACGTACAGGAAAACTGCTCACAAACTACTGTACAACAGGGTAACCACGCTCTGCTACAATGTTAATGTGGATTAATACCCTCAGTAATGTACAGTTAAACGAAACATATTGTGAGAAAATATTATTTATTGAAAGACATACAAAAACTATTTTGTCAGTAAAACTTCACTTTATATAAAATCAAAGTACGCTAAATATACTGGGCCATTGAAATTACTGTAATGTAATATACTTTAACACGGTCTGGCTCTCGGCGGCTTTGCTGACATGTGCTTTATCTCAAATGACCAATTCATTTAACTAAAATATTTTCTAACTCCTATTGTACAAATATTTAGGAAAAAAGCTGTTCTATACAACATTCAACTTAAAGACTGGATGTAAACAAAATATCTGCAAGGCTAGGCCGCACAGAAATACAGGCCGGCAGGCGAAGCGGCTGACGTCACAGTATGGTCCTTTTAGATGGTCACATTATCAGCTCTCGGTTCATTTTCAGTTCATTTGTCAGTTATATGTATGTGTAAACACAAAACAATGAAAGAAAAACTAAAACTGACACGAAGCTGTGGCTCGATGGATTTCCCAAAAGTTTATGTACTTGTCCGTTAACGTCTCCTTATTCGCAGAAGATTTGTAAATATCGTTATGTTAAGTTTGTTCCAACAACGATTCAATTCAAACTATGCAGAATCCTGGTGGCAATGACTGGTTTCTGATCATTGTTGGAACAAACCTATTAAAACACGACTTTCTGACAAAAATTTTTGATCTTTATCTGCAACAGTACTTACTTTCATTATAGCTTTACAAGTTTCAGATTTAAAGTACTCCCAGTTGCCAAAAATCTTAGTGTTTCATTTAACTTCTCGTATGGTGATATATCTCCTTTTATGTCTCGCTTTTTTATAATTGGTGTACCTAATAGGTACAGCAATTCTTGATATAAATCCTATCCTTGCTTATCCATAAGTTATTTGACCATTCACAAGGTTCAAAATGAAGTTGCATCATTAAATTAACATAAGACAGTAATTTTCTTTTAGTTCTTTTCTTTCGTGGTCCTTTTAGTACTAAGCACAAAGTGATCGCAATTAGGCAATCTTCAATCATCACTGATGTACACAACCTTTTTAGTTATTAATTCCCAATGATCATCTTTATCACAAGGCGTAGTTAAATCTATTCAAAAAGAAACTCTTTAGGGTTCGGGTTTCTTTAAAACTTGATGCAAACCGTCCAAGAATCAGTGGAACAGTTCAATTCCAAATTATTCGTTGCGTGCAATTATTAAACTGTCCACTGGTCAATGAGTCCTCTGATAATTCTCAATAGGTTTGTTCTGGTTCTCAAAATGAAAACGGTTTTGAAACTGCGCCGGACCGTACGCGTAAAGACAAAATATCCCCGACGGTTTGAAATTGTTAGAAAACCAGAACACTAAAGTTGTTTTATTTATTGTTTATTATAATAATGCAGTTACTTTTGAAAGTTCTGCTTCAAATAACATTTGCATGTATATGTTCATTGTTATCATCCTCATCACATTTCAATGGAATTAAAAAAGCGGGAGAATAATATTAAAAAATTAATAATTCTAAAATTTGTCTCAATATACAAATAAAACAAGAACAAGAGACATTCGTCCACACATAAATAAACAATTTGGGATTGTATACGTTCTGTATAATCTTAAAAGCTAATACAATATTCATAGCACTTCAAAAACGCATGTGCGGTCAAAACAGTCTGAGAATCGATCCACACTCTGAAGCATTTTGACTATTTACAACAATCGCGGATTATTTTGGATACGAAACCAGAAGACTGCTGGGAGATACGAAGTAGTCTGAGAAAAACCAGAACGCTTTTTATTTACTGCGCATGAGTCCGACAATTGTGGATTATTTCTCAAAACCAGAACAGACCTAATGATTTTTAAAGAACCCGAACAGACCTTTTATGTGATAGTAATTGCAAAAATGTTTACTTCGAAACGTTCAGATAAGAGAACTAGACTGGAGACTGCTACATAATCTGTCATTGTATCGGTCGGTTTTCGTGACGTATACGGCGAGGGAGATAGCACTACATGCCGGCCTGTGTTTCTGTGCGGCCTAGTGCAAGGTCATCAGGGCAAACTCTTCCTGGATTGATTGCATTTTAGGAAACGAGCAGTTCAAATCTGTGGTGTGGATTAAGTATTCACTCTTGTACTACTGAGTGTACAATGTTATAGTTTATTATTATTATTATTATGAGTCGTTTGTTTTCGTACAGCAAGATATACTATTTACAAAGGAAAGTGAGAAAATCGGTTTAGATCCGAAGACTGAAATGCAATTTTCCATATGAAAAACACACCTCCACATCCCCAAAGTGAAAACAAACCAAAGAAAAATTGAAAAGGCTGAGAAATTAAAAGAAAAAATAAGTGCACCAGTCAGGACTAGAACCATCTGCGTCTCTACCAATTGGACCATTGAAGCACATGACAACGATAGTCGAATTTGTAGATTTTAAGTCGATAAGATTCCGACTCTCACCTGCACACACGCATTCTCCTTCCCTCCCAGCCCTCTGAATTCTCCTAAAAACCACCCTTGTTATATCGTATAGAAGGACGCCAATATCTGATTGTACCAGAATAAATCCTTAGATCCTTCATTCGTTTACACTGGTAGTACCTGCCTTACTTAACCTAAGCGGTGTAATTACCTTGCACCTTTTACCCTAAAAGTAACCCTGGAAGAGGTAAAGTGCGGGGCATAGTTAAGAGAAACAGGAAGTTTATAAAAAATAATATATTTATAACGGAAATCACGGTACACTTCGGATACCCACGAAATTATACGCATTCCAAATAACTGAGTCTTTATTTACAGTTGCACGAAAAAAAAAAAATAAATAAATGAATACGGATATACCCACGGTCAAATAAACGGTGAAAACCTAAAAGTTAGTTAGCAGTATAACTAACACAACGGAAATATTGACAAAATTACAATATCAGTTGAACGAAATAAACGGGTGTTGAGAAATGTAATCGTCGAAATCAGACTCTGAGCACGTTGGCCTTGCTTCTCTCACGAAACTTCAGAAATCCCAAAAAGGCACTCAAGACAAAAATAGGAAAAAATAATTTTGTCGGGCTATAAAATTATTTTTCTAAAATCCGATACGCAGACGTTGACCAGAAAACAAAACTCGACAACTTTTAATAGGAAATTAATGATGATCGGTTCTTACCTTGGATATTTTCTACACTTGGTCTAAAACGGCGAAAAAACGGAAGACAAAACTCTCGGTAACTGTTTTAATATGTCACGGAAACTGGGCACCAAAAAGATAAAGAATTCGCTGCCTTCTCAATTTAATACTTTAACGGTCGGAGTGGTTTGGAGTAGTAGAAAGCACCATCTCTAGATTAATGTTTACTTGTTTAGAGAAAAAAAAAACGTCCTTGTGATATCTGCCGAATATGCTCAGATAATTTACATGAATTTAAGTATTTTAAAGCTTTATATGAATTTCGGTAAAGAATGGTTTATTTTGAACTACGAGGGTTCTCGCATATTTAAAAAGAGGAATTTTTAAGAAAAAAATTACGGGGGTTGTTGTGAACGCTAACAGGCGGAAATCAACTTGAACTAAACATTCTTACAATTGAAGGATAGAAAAATCTAGTGACCTCGTCGTAGTGTTGTTTTCGAGTACGGGCCGCCGTAAACGTGAAATGACAAAGATAAGTGAGAAAATCGGTTTGGATCCGAAAACTGAAATGCAATTTTGGAAATATGAAAATATATAATCACCAATTTCCCATACTATCTTGTCGGATGGTTCCAGGTTCGATTCCTGGCTGATTCGCTCATTTTTTCTTTTCTTTATTTCTCAGCTCTTTCAATTTTTCTTTGGGATTATATATTTTCATATTTCCAAAATTGCATATCAGTTTTTGGATCTAAACCGATTTTATCACTTTTCTTTGTCGTTTCACGTTTACGATGGCCGCACTCGAAAACTTAACACCAGTAAACGAATGAAAGATCTTAGAATTTATTCGAGTAACATCTGAGATTGGCGTCCTTCTATAAGATGTTACAAGGGCGGGTTTAAGAATTGAGAGATCTGGGAGGGGAGGAGAATGTATATGAGCCGGCGAGAATCGGAATCTGATTAAATTCAACCTACAAATTCGTCTGTCGTATCTATGTGCTTTGGTGGACCAATTGGTAGAGACGTCGAAGGCTCTAGTCGGAAGATTCCAGGTTCGATCCCTGGCCTATGATCTCATTTTTCTTTATTTCCCAGCTTTTTTAAGTTTTTTCGGCATGTTTTTATTTTGGAGACGTGGAGATGTATATTTCATAATTTCGTAGGGGGAATTGGGGATTATATATTTTCATATTTCCAATATTATATACTGTTTTCATATTTCCAAAATTATATACTGTTTTGTTTTATTAGATTTATTTTTTTAGTGTGTACAGGTTATTGGAACATAATTTTTTTAATAAAATTGATTGCTTATTTTCATAAGACCTTTAATACGATTCTTTTTACTAGCATGCTCGTTTTCTTCGTGCGTGTAATTACTTTCTTTAAGTTGAATATGGTATAGTAATATGTGAAAATTATCAAAACAAAAATTGTTTATACTTACTTTACATTTATAAGGCTTTTCTCCTGTATGAGTTCTTTTATGCCTTGCTAGAATTCCAGACCTAGAAAATTTCATCTTACAAGTATCACACTCGTAAGGCTTTTCTCCTGAGTGAATCCTTTTATGTTTGGTTAGAGAGCTAGATGTAGTAAATCCGTGGTTACATACAGAGCATACAAAGGGTCGAGCACCAGTATGTTTTCTCAAATGTGCTGACAACTCTCCCTTACTGGCAAATCCACTACCACAAGTGCTACAGAGATGAGCTTTGATTCCGCTATGCCTAACTGTGTGTTGCCTGAGATTACCCAGTTGATTGAATCCCTTCCCACAGGTAGAGCAGAGAAAAGGTTTCTCTCCGTTATGCGTTCGCATGTGATCTTTTAAATTTGAGATTTGATTAAAACCTGCAATAACAGAATAGTATAGAACCTGAACCGCAGACGGAATTTTGGCGTAAAAGGGTAGGACATTGCGAGGAATTTACAGGTTTAAAGGAATTGGGAGAACATGTAGGAATTGACGGGGTATTGAAGGAATTGCCAGGGAATTTCTGTGGAATTACCGAGATATTGAAAGATAATTTTAATTTATAAGAATTAGGTGTAGGTAGGTACTTATTTTGGTTTGCCAGTAGAGCCCTCGAACTCGACCCTCGATTATCTATTTTTTATAAAATAGAGGACACAATTAAACATGACATTAGTACTTAGGAGGATACAGTAAGCTATGATATCACTTTTTATTTCGGATCTTCCCTCCTCCTACCACTTCATGATTTAGTTTGTGGGCATTCATATCTTTGGTTTCAGTTCAGAAGATATATTATATGGCAACGTATAATTTTCTCTCTCAGAATTTAAAAAAATCGTTTGTCTTATGATTTTTAAATTACACACGTCAATATCATAAAAACTACGTACCAATTCAAAGAAAGTGTTCTTGATGTTTTCTAGCTATATCTTTAAGGATGATAATGCTGGTTAAATAATAGTTTTATCGTGAAGAATAAGCGAGATAATTAAAAAAAAAGTTACATGATGTCACGAGATTCTTAGCAGTCCTCGACAAGGCGACACAAAAGCTTTATAGACCAAGAAGTTGAGAATGGAACATCTAGAAGTGAAATTTAAAGTAGAATGGAGATATGTAATGCTTAGCATTCTATAATATATCATTCACAGTTTAACAAACTCCATTAACTCTCCATTTTTAAACAGTTTTTTTTAGAATGGGCGTCATCCCCTTATAGAGCTTGATTTTTCCTAAATATTTCAAGTTGATATCGTTTTTAGTTTCTGAATTAAGAGTTTTTTTAATATTTCAACCCCCTTTCGCCCATATTTTTATTTATTTTTTTTTTCAGAATTAATAGCTTTCATCCCCTTATAGAGCTCGATATTTAATAAAATTTTAATGTTGATATCGCTTTTCGTTTTTGACTTGTTTTTTTATTTCAACCCCTCTAAGTCACCCATTTTAATTTAGATTTTTTCAAAATCAATAGGCTTCGTCCCCGTATAGAACTTGATTTTGGCTAAAAATTTCAAGTTGATTTCATTTTTTGTTTTTGAGTTAGGATTTTTTTTATTTCAACAAAGTACTCAAAAACTACAAATCTAAAATGCACTACAACAAAAGCACTCAATATTCGTATGTAATCTATACTAAAATGCCTAAAAAAAAAAACGAAAAAAAGTCTAAGAACGTTATAAATCTCTTTAAATTTTTTAAAATCTATCCAACACAATAACAGCACCAACAATTTTACAAACCAAACTAAAGACAAAAATAAATTAATACTGTAGGATGGTCTGGATCATCCTTCTATCAGGAATTACAGAGCGCCCTCAGGTCACCAATCATCTGCAGTAACCTATGTTGCAAATTTACACTGTTACTAGAAAGAGTGGCTGTCGCAACGCGGCGCTTTTTCCAAGGGTACCTATCTATATTATTTCATTTTAGGGGATTCCTTCTAAATTAAAATTTGTTGAAAATTTTAAAAACTTGGTTTAACAATTATTTAGGTACTTATTTGTGCATAGAAAGCTGCTACATTTAGAAAAAAAAAATGTTGGAACAAAAAAATCTTTTAAAGACATATTTTTGTGGAATATTTATATTTTATCTTTGTAGCAGTCTCAAGTATTAGTTTTAAGACCTACTAGTGAAATATTGTATTAATAAAAGAATTAATGTTTTACTTTTATTAAAAAATTAAACTCCCAGAATTAGCTAATTTCAAATTTGTAAATTCCAAAATACAACTTGTATTATGTTTTCATCCTGAACTCATTAAAGCTTGTAACGATTGAACCTAAATACGCTAATTGGAAATAATTAATTAAAAACTTTATAAGTGGGTTCAACATGTGCTCCGTGAACTCTGATACACTCGCGGGCCCGACAAATAGAGGACTGCTATACTTGCCACAACAACCCAGCATTGTTCATCACAATGAAATGTGATTCTCTGTAAAAGTTCCTCCCAAGTATCAACCGGAGAGGAATACACCAAGGTTTTGAGATGACCCCACAGGTAAAAATACATTGGCGTTAGGTTGGGAGACCGTCAAGGCCAGGAAATTGGACTTCCTCTGCCTATCCAACGCGTTTCGACAGACGTTATTCAGGTGGTCCCGTACAGCGACGCTAAAGTTAGGTGGGGCTCCATTATGCATAAAATACATGCTTCGGCGGGTTTCAAGTTGCAAATGATTTATTGAATCCAGAAAAGCGTCCTGAAGGAACTGTAAATAAAGTTCACCATTCAATCGTGGCGGCAATACGCATGGCCCAATCAAAAAATTGCCGATTATTCCTGCCCAAACAATAATTGATTGGAACTGATGTTGATAATGATAAACAACAGTGGCATGAGGGTTTTTATCAGCCGATACATGCGAGTTATGTAAATTTACAATACCATTTTTGGTAAACCCTGCTTCATCGGTAAAAAGAATAGTGCTGGTGAAGTTTCCGTTTGTTCGTTTCTGATCTAACAGCCAGTTTGCGAACTTGAGGAAAATATTCAGGAAGTAGTTGATGCATTTTTTTTGCAGATGATAAGGGTATAACAACTGTTCTTTAAGCACTTCAGCAATTATCGTTTTTGACACATGAGGCTGCGCGGCTAATCTTCGAGTGCTTATTGAAGGAGTATCAGCCAGATTATCCAAAATATTTTCCTCCAATTGCGCACCGTACGTACTGTTCTTGTCACACCAGCATCAGTAATTGTTTTCCCAAAACTTCCTAAAAATTATTGTCCCAGATTCTAGAAACTGGCAACTAATTTTTATTTTTGAGGCCACAAGAAGCATCTAGTACATAGTGATGGTGAAATTAATGATCAAAATTACCCAAGAAATCGCATTTTGACATTCCACCGAACGAATTCGACAAACTAGAGGCATTTTTCAGCAAGTTAAGGAATACTGACATTTTTTTTATATCATAACATAATGAATCTGCAATACAAGTGACGGTGTCATAATCTACATAAAAATTAATTGTGTAATTTTAAAGGTAAAAATTTCGACCTCGAAACTAGTCACTTGGTGTACGATAAGCGAGAACGAAACAATAGATGTGTTGTGCTCGAGGTTCGACCGTGGAATGTTTAGTAAAACATGTTAACGGTTGGAAGTTCGGAAGCTGAGTCCGTTAAACGAGATTTATGCTAAGGCATCTTTAGCGGTGGAAGGTTAAAACTGGATTGAGTGGAGAGGTGATTTGCTCTTGTTAATTTTTGTGTGAGGAGGGCATGAAAGTTTAGCGCTCTAGAATCAACTGGAATGAATTTTTTTTTAATTTTTTGAGCTTTATTGAGAACGAGAGAAAATTCTGAAATATACGAGAGGAAGAAAGGAATGTGGTGTTTGGTTGCTACTGGATACGTGATGTTTGGCACACATTGAAGGCAATGTATTTAGTTTGTACTATATCTAGGGCTGTATGAAATTGCTATTTGCAGGATGTTAATATACACTTCTTGAATGCGTGGGTAGAGGGAAATGAGTTAGGTGCAGGATAAATAATATGCATTTTTAAATATGCGGTTTTAACATAAATGAATTGAAAAGGGACGGACTGCGAAATATTATGTTTGAATTTAAAACTGTCTTCTGAAATTTAAACACAAATAGTTACCTTAATATATTGAATTCTAACGATTTTCTTTCATAGATTAATAAACCCACGAGGACTACAAAAGACACTAAATCAAATATTGACCATATTTTTATTAGGACACATAACAATGTATTACCTAACTTTAAATCAGTTGTTTTCCATACGGATATGACTGATCACTTTTTACCATTTTTATATTTCCCGAATCAGCCGATCACAACAAAAAAATGTAAACATTGATAAAAAACTATAACAAATTAAAAAAAAATTAGATCATGGAACTTGGAAAGACGTACTCAGTATCAATAAAACCTAATTTAAACTTGTCTTCAATAAATTAATTACATTAACACATCATAAAGCCTTTATATTAAACACATCATATTATGTTCTATTAAATATCGAGATAGCATGAAGATAAACTATTAAAAAATTACTGAATCCAACTGGAATATACATCGTATAGAAATAAACAAAAAATTAATTTTTTAAAAATAAAATGCCAGAAACGACTTTAACAAAATGGAACGTTATAAATGAGATAACAGGAAAAAGAAAAAGTACGAAACCAATTAAAATTTTTTCTATAGTGCACAAACAGGGCCGACTAGAGGGAGGAGGGGTAGCCGGGAATAATTCTAAACAAATTTTTTTCTAAAATGTGACAAAAACGAATTTATATAATAAAAATGAAGTAAAACTATTTATATTTAATTTAAAAAAAACTGCTCGCACAGTCCCATATAAACTGGTAAAGCTGATTTTATTCGTTTCCTGCTTGTCTACGGCTAACACTCTGTAGTTTTCACAAGCACTTGTGCAACCGTGTATTGGAAACGGTTCAGTGATCGACATTGTATAACATACATATAATTAATACCCGTTTCTCAGGTGGAAAAATTCCAAAAGAATGGAAGGAATCGATAATTATTCCTATTTATTAATGAAATGATCAAAAAAAAAAAAAATACAACTAGACATATGTGATTAATAACTTCATAAAAAATTTTGACCGGGCATTTAAAAATCGACTAATGAACTTTTTTACAAACAACATTATAACAGATGGTTTTATATAAAATTCAAATAGTGAAAATGCAGTATAATAGATTTCCTAGAAGAAGAAAAAACAGTAAATGCATTGACGAATCATTGAAATACATAGTAGTTTTCCTGCCTGAAAGCTTTTGACAGTCTCTCATAAAATGTTACTAACAAAATTAAGTAATTATGGTGTTGCAGCTACTGCTTTTAATTTAATATCCAATTATTTATCAAATCGATCGCAAATAATAAAGATTGGCAGTGAAATAAGTTCTAACGCAGAAGCAAAAATTGGTGTTCCTTAAGGAACAGTCCTAGGCTCAATACTTTTCTTATTGTACATAAATAATATTAGTCAGTTAAATAACTTCATCGGACATTTAATCTGTTATGCCGATGATACAGTTCTACTCGTAATTAGTACTGATTGGAATGAAATAAAAACTTCTACCGAGTCTGACTCACATAAGTTGCGATTATGTATAAATTACAATAATCTAATCCTTAACGTAGATAAAACAAAGTTTGCGACTTTTAGTGCATTAGTCACAAATCAACCACAAGACCATACTATAAAACGAGATTGCAAAAATAATAACTGTGTTGTACAAATATTGAAAAAGTCTTTACTATGAAATACCTAGGAGTTCAATAATACATATTGTTTAAGAGTTTTAAAACATCAATTTTATAGTCTTATTGCAATACTGTAATACCACCCTAATAATAATAATAATACTCTCCCTATTTCATTGCCTTATGAGTGAATTTCAACCCCTGAAGCTGACTGAGCGACTTTTGTAGGGGAAGGGACGGCTATTATTATTATTATTATTATTATTTGCCGTGGCGCTCCGGGGCGACTTGAGGATGATTGAAGGTGCTACTTGATTTGTTTTATCCCGGTTCGACAGTCTTGTCCGGATTTTTCCCGGATTTAAGCATTAGTCTAAAACAACTGAGCTTAAAGATATTTTTCGACATCGGATAACTTCAATAATACTAATTCGAGAGAGAATGAGTAATATATATCTCCTTCTTTATCCTCTGTTACTGTTAGACAAGGAGAGGTTGTTTCTTGAGAGCACTATCCGTCTTATGTCATTAATAAATCGCCGAGGAAATACCATATTTTTTCTTTCTGTTTTTGAGTTGAATTGGGACTCTTTTAGTATTTTCTATTCTATATTGCATTTCTCTATCTTTACCCAAAGCTGAAAAAAGTCCTGACAGAAAAATTTAAGAAAACAAGAAAAATCATGAAATTAAAATATAATAAAAAAGAATTACAAATCGGAACCGACATAGAAAACACCAAAGGAAAAACAAGGAAAAAGTTAAGCAAAAATGGCTCAAGATTAATAATTAAAAAAAACTTTTTTGCGCGATTGTTCAAAAATAAAATATAGATAATACATATAAATAATTCAACATTTTTGAATATAAAAAATGTAGTAATAACGCCTTTTTTGGTTACAACTTCTGTCTCGTTTTTAGATTTTGTAAAGTTGGTCACCCTACTTAGAACGGATTTTAGACAAAAAACTGTTCAAAAGGTAAATATAGAAGTATATAATAAATTGTCCAAATACTTTTTACATTTTACTGTCATAAGCTTACCAATTATTAATATTCTTAGAAAAGTGTAATTTTTTTTATATAAACATAATAGTCTAAGAGCAGGCTACATAAAAATGTTTGCATCTGGTACATGGTTCGTTTATATGTAAAAAGGTACCTTTAGTGTTGCCAAACATAATTCTGCCTATCTGCCATCGCAAATCCGGGTCACGAAGCGGGGTCGTATAGTTAAAAATGTAAAATTTAGGTGTAAAAAATGTATAAGGTACACGGATTCTCATTACAGGAAAAGCTGCCACCAGACAACGCCAAAGGGGTGTAAAGTAAATAAAAAAATTACAAGGTACACGAAAAAATTTTTTTTATTTTATTATTTAAACTTAAAAAAAAAACAATTTACCAAAGAGAAGTGGATGCTAAAGCCTTGGCAGACAGTTTGAAATAGAATCTTCCTCAGACTCGATTTCTGCCTCATCGTCTGAAATAAAGTAGGATTTTTACACATTCAAGTAAAAATTAATTTTATATTTTTTATGCAAAAGTATTTTACCTTTGTTTCAGCATCAAGTACATATTTAACTGTACTAGGCAGCTGTGGTTCATCGAACCAGTTGAATTTATATATTTCCTCCGATATTACCCACCCACAATTCTCTGGTTTTAAAATAATTGATAATATTTTTTTATATGCATTTTTCCATATTGTGGCAATATATTTTGCTCTTAATAAATGCTGCCTTAATTCAGAGTGACTAGGAGGTAACGTGGAAGCATCGAAATTATGTATTTTTTTTCTCTCTGAAATGGTTCATCCAAGTCGTTGACTTTATAAATTTTTAAAAAATAATGCAAATCTGGTACTATTTACCGAGTTCATAGATTGATAACCATATAAACTGCAAATTAATTTCTCCGGAAATACACCGATTTCGTCACACTCTTCAGAGCCCATTTCACAAAAGGTTTGTTGAAATTCTTGATTCTTTTTTAATATCTGTAAAGAGTGTTGCTTTCCCTTCCGAAATAATGCGGGGTTGAAGTCGCAACCAGTTAAGGCATACATCCTGTCAATGATTGACAGAGTAACTGATCTAACGCCTCATGCAACGCGGAAACGTCAATAATTCTCTGTCTATTCCACATTCCTGTTTGTATAAAAACTTTGCTACCCTGTTGAACATTAATCATATCAGCTAACACTATAATTAAAATGTCCGTATCGGAGCATTTTATTACTATTATGCTGTCGATTCGATATTGCACGCGTGGTAAACAATTTTTGTATCTGCTTCTTCGTGTTAATCTGAAAATAAAATGGTCTCATTTTGAAGTTCATATTGATAGCATCTATCAAAATTAAGTAGCACTTTTTTATTTTGCAGAAACGGAATCATTTCTTGCTGTTGCCAATGATTTATTAAAAACTTAACTAATGCCTCTTTGAAATAACTGTTTCTCAGCTCTTTATTAAAATCGGCTGGTCTTACTTGCTTTGGCCCAGAAATTACATACATGCGATTACCAGAGGAACCGCCTCTTTGTGATCTTTCGTAGTCTTTGATAGAAGGTGACCAATATCTATCAAAAATTACATACACATTGGAACGGGCGTCAGAGGATACGTTAAATTTTTTTCAACATTAGTGTTTTCATCCATCGAGATGCGTCCGAATAAATCACATTGCAATCGTACCTCTTGAATTTTGTTATTAACTCTTACTGAATTTTTCTTGATCGTGGCAGCAAAACTTAGGATTTTATTCTGCTTAATAGTCATCTTGAATCTATTATCAGATTCAGCACATTCAGAAATGAACGTTTCTCTCAAGCGATGACCAGTTTTTTCAACGTTCAATAAAAAATCGGTTACTTCTTCCGACGCAGCTCGTCGTCCTGTTGCAATATTAAATAACTGATCGTTCGGAATATCTTCGCTGTTGAAAGGATTAATATTTTGTTTCAGAACAGATATAAAATTTTGCAACCGAGTAGTGTATTTTTTGATTTGGTGTTTCTCTAAATCGCCGGTGATGTCTTGCGTTTTCTTTAATCCTGTCAAATCGTATGTATAAGACACTATGGTTGATCGGATGCCATGACTTTTAGTCCATCTTTGCTGCGCTGAGATTGAGTTAGTAAAGTGTGTGATACCCGTTAATCATCTAGAAGCAGTAGCATTAAATGTTTGTTCTAACGTTAAATCTACAGGTATTCTTGAATATGGTTTTTCGGTCCTCTTTATACCATTTTTGAAATCTTCCTCTAAAGCTTGGATGGGTTAATTGAACTCTTAATAAATTATTGTGATACTTTAACAGCCAATAATAAATGCAAAAAATCATAATAATTCCAAATTAAAGTTGTAAAAATAGCACAATTTTCGTTTATGTATCTTATAAAGATCAATAATTGAGGTATACTTAAATATAAAATCTTGAATTATAAAGCGCTATTTTAAACTGTCTGCCAAGGCTTTAGCACCCACTTCTCTGTCTGCGATTTGGAAAATTGTTTTTTTTTTTTTTTTAATTTGGTTTGTACCTATACGTTGTGATTTTTTTTATTTACTTTTACACCCCTTTGGCATTGTCTGGTGGGACGTTGGCCCCTAGCAAACTGTCTGCCAATATTTTTCCGCTTTTTTTGAATATAAATAAAAGCTTCTCCTGTAATGAGAATCCGTGTGCCTTATAAATTTTTTTACACCTAAATTTTACATTTTTAACTACACGCCCCGGCTTCATGACCTGTATTTGTGATGGCAGACAGGCAGAATTATGTTTGGCAACACCAATATAAACGAACCATGTACCAGATGCAAACATTTTTCTCCGTCTATAATTTACTACCGACTGTCCTGATTTTCTGTTTAACAAAATTCGATTTTCTTTTGTTGGTCTCGTCTCCACTTGTTTATTTTGTTTATGTCGGTATATAATTTCTATTTGAAATTATTATTTTCAATATTTCTCATTTTTCTTGTTAGAAAACACTTAACTTTCGTACATGTATATTTAGATCCCATTCTCAACATAACATGTATAATTAGATACAATTATTCCTATTTCCTAATATAGTTAAATTCATAAATGAGAAGGGGCAAGGAAACAAATAAAAAGACAACACCACCTACGTTTTTAGTTTGTTTTCGTGTCCCTAATGTAATAGTTTTGAAGTATATTAAAAAAATGTAGACTAATTACTGTATTATTGAATAAATTGAAAATTGAAATTACATCTTGTACCTATGAGGTAACAACGCTTTAGAACAATCAAAATATATCTAGCAAAACCATATTTTTTTTAAATAATATATGTATTTACCTTTACAACAAATATCACAGATATGTGGCTTGAGTCCTGTATGACCATTCATATGATTTCTCAATTGTTCTTGCCTGTGATACGACTTTTCACATACTTCACATTTGTACTGTTTTTCAATAAAATGAGTAGATCTTAAATGCCTGTTTAAATGGGCTAATTTTGAAAACTTTTTATGGCAAATTTGACAGCTAACATTGTATTCTTCTTTAAAATGAGATTTTAGATGGGTATCTAAATCATCTTTTTGAACAAATATTGAATCACACCTAAACAGAAATTAACAATTTATCAAGTTCAGATAATCTCGTAGTTTATGCGGGCATTAATATAATACATATCCAGACCACTCTGCACACATTTGGAATTTGAATTTTACCCCTACCACACAGCAAGATTTTCATTCTTGTTTTGCTGGTTATTTTTATCTTTTAATTTCGATGGCGAGGAAAATTGTGTTTCACAAAAAATTAAAATCTAAAAATTAAGAATATTTTCATTCATTTGTAAAAATTTTCCTTGCCCTTATAATTCCGTTGATGATATCTATCTATTACTCATGTGCAAATTCTACTTCCCCTTAAAGTTATCAAAATTTATTGTCGTTATGTTTCCTATCCTGAGTTTCAATTACACATCCGCAAATGTCATTTTGTTTTTGCGTTTGATAGTATTGGTAAGAGAGCCAGTGACACCTCTAGGTTTTATTTGTAAAAGATAAAATTGAGTCGTTCAGTGCCAGAGTTGCCTAACCAACAATTTATTAAAAGTGAGAAAATGGAGATCAAAGCACTTTATTTACGACCATATATGTAATGTTGTCATTACTAACGTCATTGAAGGTTGGGAAGTGTCACATTACACACCTCTACTTCCCGCCCTCATTTCATCTATTCTAGATGAATATTTTTTATATTTAAAAAAAAGATAACACATTTTTTTGACAAATTTTATAATACCTATTTAATGGCAAACAATAAAAAACAACAATGAACTAAAATACAACAAACTACTTATTGACATTTATTATTCGCGAATTTAATATCCGGTTTTATCTGACATTTATTTATATTGGTGACAGTTGTTTACCCCGTAATCACAGTAACAATATATTTACTTGATTATTCTGAGAAAACCGCGCGCTTGGTAATTTGTCGTTAAATGTAATATTTTAGGTATTTTCAGAACAAAACAGAGATTTATTAACTTTGAGCGAAATATGATGGTTGTAAATAAAATAGTATGCAAACCTCGGTAGGAAGTTTCATTCCTGTCTCGAGATCATAGCTAACCTCGACGCTTCGCGTCTCGGTGATCTAACTAATCTGACGACAGGAATGAAACTCTTCCCACCTCGGTGTGTAATATACTATTACCTGTGTCTACTAGACATAACTTCCTAATCATTAGAAATAGATATTGGCACCAAAAACGGAATAGGTAACTTTGGGATGCACAAAAATGATTTTAAAACTAGAATGAAGATATATAATGCTTGGCATTCTATATTATACTCTTCACAGTTTAATAGACCCCGCCCCCTTAACCCCTCATTTTTATTCATATTTTTATCAGAAACAATCTACACTTCATTCCCTTGGAAAGCTTGATTTTTCCTGAAGATTTCATGTTGATATTGCTTTTGGTGTTTGATTTCTATTTTTTGTTATTTCAACCCTCCTTAAGGGTTAACCCCTTCATTTTGTTCACCAATTTTTTTTTAAATCAAAGGATTTGTACCATATAGTGCTTGATTTTTGCTAAACATTTCTAGTTGGTATTATTTTTCGTTTTTGAGTTTGGATTTTTTTAAATATTTCAACCCCCTTAATATCTCATGTTTAGTTTCTTTTTCAGAATCAATAGAATTCATCCCCTTATACAGCTTGATTTTTCCTGAAGATTTTAATTTGATATCGTTTTGTGTCTGAATTTTATTAGGATTTTTTTTTTCAATATTTCAACTAGGGGTGAGCAAAATAATCGATTATTTTAAATTATTCGATCACTCGATAATTTTCGATTAATCGATTACTTTCGATAATCGATTATTTTTGATTAATGGATTATTTTCGAATAATCTATTCTTTTCGGTTGATCGATTATTTTAAATATTCGATTATTTATTTAGATAATCACCCACCCATCCTTAATTTTTAACCCCCTTAGCCCCTATTTTTAATGTTTTTTTTTTCAGAATCAGTAGGCTTTATTCCCTTGTAGATCTTTTTTTTTTTTTAATATTTCAACCTCCTTCAACCCCCATTTTATTTCAGATTTTTTCAGAATCAATAGGCTTCATCTTCTTATAGAGTATAATTTTTACTAAAAATGTTATGTAAATATCGCTTTTCGTTTTTGATTTTTTTTTTAATTTCAGCCCCTCTTCCCCCCATTTTCATTTAGATTTTTTTCAGAATCAATAGGCCCTATTGCCTTGTAGAGCTTGATTTTTGCTAAAAATTTCATGTTGATATCACTTTTGGTTTTGATTTTTGTTTTTGTTTTTTTTTTTATTTCAACTCCCCCTTAACCCCCCTTTTTAATTAGATTTTTTCAAAATTAATAGGCTTGACCCCTTATAGAGCTTGATTTTTGCTAAAAATTTCAAGTTGATATAATTTTTAGATTTTGAGTTTTTTTTTTTACTATTTCTACCCCCTTAACCCCCTATTTTTATTCAGATTTTTTTCAATAGGCTTCGTCCCCTTATATAGCTTGATTTTCCTGAAATTTTCAAATTGATATCGTTTTTTGTTTTTGACTTATCGTGCGGACAAAAAACGTGACATTGGACGGACGAATGAAGCGAATGCATAATACTCTTCACAGACTACCATGTGAAGAGTATAATAATAAGAAGACTGGTTGTTTTAAAATTATTACAAGTGAGTAAATGGAGATCAAAGCACTTTACCTAAATCGACCAGACAAAACTGCTTAATCTTTGGTTATGGATGGTGTCACCAAAAATGAATAATTTTAAGGAATAGGCAACTTTGGCATGCAGAAAAATAATCTGCGAATTTGTAATCATAGTAATACTCATTAGCTACATGTGACGAGTTACAATAATTTACAGCAAGGTTCAAGTGTATAAGTAATGGAGGATGATATTTATCGACATTAATTAGGGCATTACTAGTGAGAGAGGTGGTTGTTGAAGATTGATAGGAAAAAACTAAATCTAAAGTAGTATTGTAATCATTCCGAACTGAATTGTTTTGAAAAAAATTGTGAAAAGTGCACATATTGGAGATATTATTAATCGCAGCAGTTTCATCAGTTCTAGTTCCAGATCCCGAGGAGCAAAATTGGAAGAGATGTGCAAAAGTGTTAGCTATTTTGTTAGGATTAGTAAGCTCAACGTTGTTGTATACCATTAGATTTTGAAGATCATTTTCATGTTTTAGATTTCTTATAAATGTCCAGAAATGTGTCAGTAATGAATGTCAAGTAATTCCATTCAGTGTGATATTTAACTTCACGTCGCTTATTGGAATACAAAATGTAATCAGAATCCCGTCGAGTTCTCTTAAAAGTTTTATAAAGCTTATTTTTTTCGGTCGTAAGTTTGCGAACAGTCAAGTCGAACGAGATACTTATTTAAAGTGACGCTCCATCCCGATTTTAAACCACTAGTCCCGATTTAACATGTGTTCCGATTGTGTCCTGCTTTTATTCGATTAAGAACAATTTTGTCCCGCTTTGTCCGATTAAAAATGATTTTGTCCCGCTTTTAACTGTTTAAAAAAAATATTTTATTTAAACCACCAAAAAATACAATTTTTATGGTGAAGTTACGTTTTTTTGCTCTTCAATGAACCAAACCGTCACTTCTGTCAAATAGAATTCAACCGTTTTCTACTTTTCAAAATATATTCACTTTATTTATACTTACTACCATGAATTCTTCTTAAAAAGCACGTATGATACTATTGAATCGTTCAACTATTTTGTAAATTTTATGTGAATCGTTGATAAAAGACCTATTAAAGAAATTATTTAGAGCTATAAAATAATGAGCTTTGTGAAATTGATATCTAGAGACAATTTTCTTGTTGTGGAGAAATGGAGCTTTATTAAAAATTTGTATTTCTAGATCTAGAGGAAGATGCAAAGGGTCCACCTTGGATAGGAAAAAATCTTATTTTACTCATTTTACAGATTCAAAGTTACTTGCTAATACCAAATCAAGGATAGGTTTATCAGAGTTAAGGGCTTTGGCTATTGTTGGTTGTATCGTTTTAGTTTTTAGGTAGTACAATATCAAATTCACGTTCCCAAACAATATCTGGTAGATTGAAATCTACTCCTATGACAAGCTTATCATTTTTGTATTTTTCCATTATCAATTCACATTGATTACAAAGAGACGTTTATGAGTCTAAAGATGCATTGGGAGAAATGTAAATATTTTTCCCATAAACTGTGTAGTCATTTTGATTAAAAAATTTGGAGCAATGAATGAATTATTTAACCATGTTTCAGTTAACTTAATCAGGTCAAAGTTGCATGAAAAAGAATTAGTTAATATCTGTATAGATTTTGTTCTGATCCCTCAAACGTTTTGATAAAAAATAAATAAAGGTATAGTTAAAGAGTTAAATGTTGTCACACAAGCACAAATTTGAAACTTTCAGATATTATTTACATCAAAAGTTAGTAAAAAAAATGTTGCTGCCACCTTCTTAAAATTTACCTCTGGGTACCTTCTTGCTTGCTGACAAGGCATTTCACTGATAGATCTATTGCAGTGTAGCTGCAGCAAAGTATTTCCACCTTCTACACTATAAGAATAAACAATACATTTATAATTTAGCCTTGTGCAAATGAATACAAAAAAAAAAATTCACTGGCTCCCTATTATATAGAATCAATTACAGACGTTTCAAGTAACTATGTTGTAGCCAACCCAACAGTTGTAAGATAAGGATAAGAGAGATATTAAACGATGTTTGGAAAATTACTAGATTCAAAAGTCTCACCCTTTTTTCGTGCTTGAGTAATGCGAAATTGTTAAATAATGGAAAAGGTGGATTTATATTTGACAGCATCTATGATCATTCAAATAAGTATAGAACCCTGGCAACTATGTAACAATTTTCCTTGTCAGAGGAAGTCAGAGCAGCAAAAGTGTAGACATGTGCATTAATACCCGTCTAAACTACAAGATTACCAAATTTAATTTCCCCGTCCTTATAGTATACTTACTTGTTGCAAGCATACACTAAATCTTTAATTCCTACATAATTATCTTCATCATCATCCCCATCTAACTGATAACTACTATCAAATTCAAGTTTTTGATTTTCCATTTTCATGGCATGTGCTATCCGGTGCCTTAAAAGTAAATCATTCCTTGTAAACTGTTTGGTACAAATATCACACCAGAATTCTCTGGGTTTTTCTTTTGGGGTCATTTCATTTTTTTCCTTATCATGTTCAGATTCATAACTATCATTACTATAAGAATCAAAGAAAGAATCAAACTCATTTAAATTTCTATCATTTGTGTTATTTTCAGTTTCCTCACATTTTAAATGTTCAGCCAGTATTAAATTTTCATTACATTTTATAATATCTGAATTGCACACATCATTCTTTAGCAATTTTTCTCTTAATGTTTTATCCGTTTTCTCACATTTTAGTTTAAATAAATATAAGTTAAGAGTATCGGCAGCACAGGTTTTACAAATTTGTTCAGGTAAACCGTCTCCTACAGTGATCTACAACAAATTAAATTAATTTTTAATTATTTAATACCAAATGGGATATATACAGAAACTACTAAATGTTTGGAATGTAATTATAAAATAAGAATTTTGCGCTCTTTAAATAGTTAATTTGATTATTTATTGTATACAATTTAATTTTTATTTACTTGGATAGAAGCACAGGCAGTCATCATTTCAGAAATATGTAGTGATATTCCAGAACTAATTTCTGGAACAAATATTGACTGAAATTCACCCTGTTCAGTTAGACAAGCTCTGCAAATATTTTGCAGCTCACATTCTTCCATTTTTCAAAATTAAAAACTTTTGGTGATCAATCGAAAATGATCCAGTGCTTCTAGAATGTTTATTTTTTATTTGCAATTACAAATTACAATTTAACTTCTGGCTTTGACCTTTCACGTTAGAGGCTACATTTTCATAAAACTGTCAAATGTCTTGAATATCTTCTTTTTTAAATATCCAAGGGTGCGTTCAGAACGCTATATCAAGCTAGCGGGCACCTGTGGCGGCACCATACAAAACCTGGTGGGGTTTTTGTAGCTTTTTTGTTACGCTATTTGCAAATTTGTAGTTTAACTCAGGTCCGAAAAAACAGCAGATCCGCTAGCTTGAATTTCCATAGTAGCGCCCAGTAGCGGCACAGATTCATACCCAGCTGGTTTTTCGTAACTTTTTTGTAGCTTTTTTGTTACGCCAATCTCCCTTTTGTAGCTTGTACTAGGTCTTTTCCTTTGCATTGAAGGTGTAGCAATGAGCTACACCACTTCTGAAAATATCGTTCCATCCATACAATTTGTATAAATGGAACGATATTTTCAGAAGTGGTGTAGATAAGTGCTACACTTTCAATGCAAAGGAAAAGACCTACTGAATCTGAGAAAAGCACGGATCCGCTAGCTTAGCTTAATGTGCGTTAATTTAAAATCAATTTTCGGCCTCTACAAGTAATAGGTGAAACTCGATAGTGTGACTATCTGTTGATAGATGGCCCCGATTGCATTTCACGAATTATGGCCATCTTCCATCCAATATATTTATGAGAAATTTAGATAAAATCTCAAAATCGAACATTTGTTTTTAAATGTTTTTTATTGTTGTTTATGTATTTATACTTTTGTTGAATCAATAATAATCTTACATCTTTTTTGAATGATTTCCTTAACCAATCGTTTGGCAGTATTTATGGACCAGTTTTTAATTCTGTTCTGTTCGATCATAAGTTTTAGTAGTAAAAATAACCGAAAACACCCGATCGGGAAAACAGTGGAGTACGGCTTACAACTATTTTAATAATCTTGATAATATGCATTTTACATTAATATCGGACAGATAATTAATATACATACCGTTGAAAATTACCTTAAAATTGATGAAAATATTTAACCTATGAAGGAAGGAAATCAGATCCCAATTTAATTTTACATTTAAAAAATCATAAATACGCTATAGGTAAACATTTCTTCTGGTCCGTTGAACAGGGTAAAATTACCCCATAAAATTTATAAAATAATTATCCTGTGAAGTGTTTAATATTTAAAAAATCAATAGTAGACTTACTAATATACAGTTTAAGCACAAATCCCTTTGGATTTGTCAGACAGGGTAAAATAAACCAATAAAAATTTACAAAATTATTACCCTATGAATGCGATACATTTTCTACTTACTTTTACATTAAAAAATAATAAATATGCCAGTTAGGTAAATTGGCTAAGTTTTGTTTTCTCATTTTATGTAAAAAAAAATCCAAGCTACCCGCAATCCCAGACAAAAAAACCAAATCCCAGAGATATCCGCAGAATATCTTTTGTGGATATCCAATATATCCACAGGATATCAGAAATATTCCGTGAATCTAATATGGATATCCAAATGTCCGTCTATATCCAGGATATAGAAGATATCCTAATGGATATTCAGCAAAATATCTAATGGGTATCTTCCAGAAAATACAAGAAATCACAGAGATATCCACAGAATATATTTTGTGGATATTCAATATATCCAATATGGATACCCAGACAGCACACCAAATCCTTTGGATATCTACTGAACATCCCAATATCCACTGAATGTCCAGTCCATGGTGGATATCTATTTTATATCCATGAGATGTAATTTATAGACATGCAAATGTCCATAAATAATAGTAATTATATAGCAAATTATTAAAAAATTACGCCAGTGCTCGCCATTGTGGCTAATAGTACCGTTCAGATATTTAAAATTAATTTTTTTAAGGTGTATTCAATATCCCATAAACATCCACTAAATAATCAAAGTCTAGGCTCGAACGCAAACCATCGTGGATACCCACTAGATGTAATTTTTGATTTTGCTTACTAAGTTTAGATGGCGATACCACTATCGCATCTACTCATGCTTAACCAGCCGTAATTGAGTTCGATCGAAATTTGTTTCCCAATCAGACTCCATTAGAGACTGGAGTCGAGAATTTCCATTTATTGCTGAAGAGTCCTAATAAGGATGACTTTTTCCTTAGTGGGAAAATTCAAAGGCAGAGTGTTGAAAATATTATGAGTGTTGAAAATATTTTTTATCTCTGCTATTTTCTTTCGACGTTATTCAATAAGCATTGGTTACTTTTATGAACCTCTACTAAAGATACCCATAAAATATTTTGCTGAATATCCGAATTCTTCTATATCCTGGGATATAGACGGACATTTGGTTGGATATCCATATTGGATATCCACAAAATATATTCTGTGGATATCTCTGGGATTTCTTGTATTGTCTGGAAGATACCCATTAGATATTTTGCTGGATAATCCATAGGATATCTTCTATATTCTGGATATAGACGGACATTTGGATATCCTTATTAGATCCACGGAATATTTCTGATATCCTGTGGATATATTGGATATCCACAAAAGATATTTTGTGGATATCTCTGGGATTTGGTGTGTTGTCTGGGTATCCAACCAAATGTCCGTCTATATCCCAGGATATAGAAGATATTCGGATATTCAGCAAAATATTTTATGGGTATCTTTAGTAGAGGTTCATAAGTAACCAATGATTATTGAATAACGTCGAAAGAAAATAGCAGAGATAAAAAATATTTTCAACACTCAACATATTTTCAACACTCTGCCTTTGATTTTGCCCACTAAGGAGAAAGTCATCCTTATTAGGACTCTTCAGCAATAAATTAAAATTCTCGACTCCAGTCTCTAATGGAGTGATTAGGACACACATTTCGATCGAACTCAATTACGGCGGGTCGAGCATGAGTAGATGTGATAGTGGTATCGCTTTCTTGGCTAGTGAATCAGCAAGACGGTTACCTTTCAATGTGGCATGACCTTTGATCCATCTTAAGGTGACCACATTGTTGATGGATACTTCGCCAAAGCTTCGTGACATTCTAGTACTAACCCTAAGTAAATTCGTGTTCTGTTCAGGGTGAGTAGTGCTTGTCTGCTATCTGTATAGATGAGCATGTTCCTTCCAGTGATATTGTTTGTGGTTATTTCTTTTGCTGCTATGAGAATAATACCCGTTAGCTCTGTTTAAACTACACTGACACTATTGCTCACAGCCCATTTTATGTTTAGGTTTAAGAATCTGGAGTATATTCCACATCCTGAGCCTTGTTTTGTTTTAGAACCGTCGGTGTAGATATGAATCATACCTGCCACTTCCGGCTCTTCTATTTGTTCTATTATAACTTTATATGGCTTATGGAAGATATATCTCGGTGAGATGGAGTCCATGTTAGCTTGAAGCAGTGGGAGCGCCTCCTGCCAAAAGCGACGTCTCGCCTCACCAGATCCTACATCAGGTTCTATTCCAAAACCGTGTGGAGGCGTGTCATTGTCGTCAGAGCAACCTCCTTGATGTAAATATCAAGGGGTGTGAGACTGAGAATGACTTCCATGGCCCTGGTCGGTGTTGTTTTCATGGCTCCTGTTGTGTTGAGACATGCTGTTCTTTGAATTTGTTCTAGTTTACAGATAGCTGTTAATTTTTGGGTTTTCGGTACCCAGACAACTGCACCGTATGTTAGCATAGGTCTTATGATAGCCGTGTAAGTCCATGCGATGACTCTGGGGGAGAAACCCCAGGTGCGCCACACGCGGTTCGGCGGCATTGTTCATAAGCAATGTATGCTCTTTTAACTCTATTTTCTAAATGCGAGTTCCAAGTTAACTTGCTATCAAAGGTGAGACCTAGGTACTTCACCTCTGTTGCAAAGTTGTTTAGGAGTTCTGGAGGTTTTAATTCCATTTTTATCCTTTTCCTTGTGAAAAGGACCATTTCTGTCTTCTTAGAATTGATAGACAGTGAATGGTCCTTGCACCACTGTTCGATAATTTTTAGAGCTACTTGCATTCGTTCGCAGAGTATGTTCTCAAAATTCCCTGTTTGCAGAATGACCAGGTCATCTGCATATGCTATTGTGTAGTGACTGTCATTATTTAGTCGGCTGATGAGGGTGTCGAGGACCATATTCCACAGTAGAGGTGATAACATCCCTCCCTGTGGACATCCCCTCGCAACCAAGCCTCTTATATTCACATCTTCTACACTTATGTTTACTGCTCGCTAACCATTTGTGGAACATTTCTATTGGTTAGTGAGTTTATTGTCTTTGTCTAGTTCTGAAATTTAAAAATATGTAGTTACTTAATGTTATGACTAATGAAATAGTTTGATATAAACACATATGATTAATAGACCTTTTCATCACAATTTTTTTTGTGCGCATGCTTTAGTACCGGCCATCTTTTTCGTACTGTTTTTGTAAACAAGCATGTTAAAATGCCCACGTAAAAAAAATTATAATCGATAAATATTAATTTAGGTATATTCATTTAAAAAAAAAAGGAAGAAAAGGCAAAGTAATAATAAGTTTAGTGTCTTAATTGAAAAATACATTTTTGCAATCAATTATAATTATATTATCTGTACGGAAAGGAACAACGAAACGGTGTTGTTATGGAATATGTAAAAGTGACACACGGTATAAATCATTCAAAGGCAATACATATTATTTTATAAATTTTCCAAAGGCTTGGCTGCAACATCATAAAAAAATATCAAATTATCAGGAGGCAAAATCCATATTAAAACATGTTCAAAAAGCGCAAAATGCGCATTAGGTGTGAAAAAATGTGGTCAAAGTGACAACGGTTTTCGATGGATTAATGATGTTACTAAAGATACTTATATTTGTTCACTAGGTATATTTTCATGGAGAAAGTGGTCCAACCTTGGTCCAACAGAAGAAAATTCTTATCTGGTATTACTAAATATTTTTTTAATATTAAATACTACTTCGGTTTACACAGTAATATGATTAAAAATATCATGTTGATCCTCAAAATATTAAATAATTTATTTTATTAGTTATACTCGTGATTAACTATC